TCGACACCCGGACCGCATGTGGTGTGGTCGGCGAGCATTCTACCGCTGTGCCATCGACGCACACATTACCTTATGATCACAGTCAAATAAATGTCATGTCATTGAGCTCCTTGAGATGTTATGATGAGTACTAAAAAGCCTTCTAGAGCAGTGTTCGGCATAGCAAGTCGAAAGACATCTTTCCCCAAAACACACGTAGATTGATATACACATTTTGATGTGGTGAGGACCGATGCCTCATCTTCGCATGTTTCTTTCACTATCCTCTTTGTTGCATTGAAGAGCAACCTATCAGCTCTTTAATGGGTTTGTATAATTACTTCCTCCAATCAACGTTTCACTAATTGAGTAATATTATCTTCCCCAATAAAGGTCACTTTATATAGACAAAAAACAGCTGAACATCGAATTACCGACGTCTTGTTTAAAAGAACTACTACTGAGATGTACACTTAATGTACACCATTCACATTCAACGATGTTATTTACAGACAACAAGATGAGATCGCAATGGGATCTCCACTGAGCTCATTGCTAGTAGACTGCTTCATAACAAACCCCGAAAATGGCCCACTCAAATCAACTATTGATAATTTCCAATTGTATGCTAGATATGTGGACAACATCTTTAATTATCTGTGATGATGGTCACGATCTTAATCAGTTACTACAAATATTCAACGAATGCCATTCATCTACAAAGTTCACTCTTGAAATTGAAAACGGATCTAAAATCACTTTTCTTGATGTTGAACTTACTAGGAGAGCTGAAGGGACTTTAAGCAGATCCATCCATAGGAAACCCACATGGAACGGCCAACTGACAAGCTTCTACAGACGGGGTACTAATCAGTCGAAAAAGAAAGCTAATTAGGTCTCTTGCCACTGGCGTCCAACGCATCTGCAGCTCTCATACCCTGGGAGAGGAACTACACTTCCTCAAAGAAATCTTCATACAAAACGGATATCCACGAAGCTTCATAGACAAAAACATGAAACAGGAAATTCAAAAGCAAGAGACACCATCCGTGCCAAAAAAGATACTTTATATGAACCTCAACTTCGAAGGTGACCTACTCAGTGATGTCCTTAAGAGGAGAATTTCCACTTCCTTAAGAAGAACTTTCTTCGCAGCAACATTAAGAGTAGTGTTCTCCAGTCGCCCGTTGATCTGCAGAAGCCCAAAGGACAAGATTTCGCACCTGACCACTTCTATATGCATATATCAGTTCACCTGTTGCTGTGGAGCCAGGTACATCGGTCGTTTGACGCACATCCTGTCAAAAAGGGTCAAAGAACACTATCCAGCGTGGCTACAGAAAAGAAGTAGTGGCCGTATAAGAAGTACAATAATCGAACATCTCGTCATCACTGGTCACTCCATCTCAACAAATGCCTACTCCTTCAAAATAATCTACAAATTGAAGAACAAACTGCCAAAGACAATACGTTTCCGTCTTCTTTGTATTGCACAAGCCCAGCCTTTCAGTTAGAAAAACCAGAACTATGCATAGAAAAGAAAATTATTCAACCACTTCTACTATCATGGTAACAATTCTGCTGATTTGACTTAACTTTTCGTTGTTTGCTTATTTTTCTAACTACTTAAAACTCTTGCATAATTCCGTATGTTATTTTGTTTCTATGTACACCCTGAGCACAACTCTTTCATCAAACTATTCATGTTATTACGTAACTCTTATTTAACAATCATTTGTGACAACTCATCACTTTTGTTACTACCCTCTTATATCAACATCCAATTCATCTGAACTTACTAATTGTATTTTCGTTTGGCAGATTTAATGTACACACACACATAAAAAACAATCATACATATTTGCGATTGTACAGCTATGAAAATGAATTCGCCGCCGAAAAGAGACTCTTCGCTGAACTATACTGGTCTTCTTTCCACTTTATAAAAACCTTCTGTTTAGAAACAGTCTCTGAAAGCAATCCAATGCCATGACTCAAACAAAATCACAAAATATCATGCCGGATCGGTCGGGGCCCGGATTAACAACGACCGCACTTTCTGCTGCCGTGTCACAGCGCAGAAGTGATAAATTTGCTACTGAGACACACAAAATGAAAAACAACAAACAAAAACAGGCTGTGTGCGACCGACCTCAAGCAGCTGTCCCCTGGGCTCTGCGGTCACGCAACCAACTTCCACGATGTGGGCAGCCAGGAAGTAACAATCGCCCTCACAATCCGAAGTGCACGCGGAACCTCTCTAATCCTCACTCATCTTTGTCTCCATCTTCATCTCTATTATCTTTCTTTCCATCTACTAATGCAACTCCTCTACTTGATGGCTCTTCACTCTGTGTACACTGAAAACGACAGAAGCCAAAAAACCACCATCGATAGTCTCCTAAAGCCACGCCACCAATTTCATATAGGAGCATTTAATGTTAAGACACTTTGCCAAATAGGACAACAAGCATCACTAGCCGAGACTCTGGCATCCCGAGCCATTGATGTATGTTGTGTTTCAGAAAAACACATACAAGACCCAAGTGTGGTTATTCACCTAACTCCACCTGGCCTACAGGATGAAAGCTATTCGTCATCTGCGCCTAAGTTATACTTCAGAAATCCTGGTGCCTATAACATTCACAATGAGTTTCCCATTAAGGAAGAAAAACATTACAAATACAACAGTCGACAGTTTTGTGCATTCTTCTTTAACCTTTCTAAAAGCAGTATCCATGGAGCTATAACATTATTCAGGGGGACTTTGACTTTTATAGCCCTCACTATTTAAAAAATGGCAACTATGGGTGTGCATTTCCAAGTTTTAAACATTCCATGTCCACTGAAGCAGAGGAATTGCAAGCGTAGTTGTCATATTATGAGTTGTATAGCAGTCTAAGTAACGAATCAACAGAGAACTTTGCTAAGATTCATCGCTTTAATTTGTCACTCTTTGAAAAAAGAACATATCTACAAGAAAGGATAATTTAGCGAATACTACTAATGTTCAGAATTCCGATGACAAAGAATGCATATTGATATGGGATCAATACATGGTCTGTTGATTGGTCCTATCTTTTTCAAATCATGCCGATTATTATTATTTTATGCTTATCTACCGTGCGTCAGTGGCACAGAGGTAGAATGCTCGCCGACTACGCAGATGGTTCGGGTTTCGATCCCCAGCTGACGCACTCCTTGCTACCTCACTAAGCCATTAATAAGACTGGTAAAGAGGGAAGGTTGGGCATGAGGTTGGCTAACAACCCCATCCCGTTAAAATAAAAACACTGTTAAAGAAACATCAAGCCTCTAGCTTGATGCCCTATGTTCCACTGGGAACGTAAGGGAATAAAACAAATAAATAAATGATTATCTACCAGGTGACATGTTGGTTTCATGTTCTGTCTCAATCCCCAATCACTGTGGCCTTACGCGACGTGCGATTTATTATCAAGCTAATATATTTAAGTGAAATATAAAAAGGTATACCTGTGATACTGTGAACATTTTTGGACCATTTCACCAACAGTCGGCAACCACTAACACAAAGCACGTAAATTAGACCTCCTCATATGACTGAGACCAACCATAATTCATTTAATTCATGGAATGGTGTCATGTTAACTGAACTAATATATGTGTAAAACTTGGGCACTGTGGTAGTAGGTAATTCCATATTAGTTTGTTTTTTAGATGTATCACACAGTGAAACAGTATTATTTCATACTGGATGACAAGGTTTCGAACAAAATCTATTATTGTTCATAATCATATCATCAATTATAATCACACGACTTCGAAACTTGAGTATCATAGTTTTTTTGTTCTCTCCTATTTGTCGTCGTTGGGGTAGTAGGATTTTCCAGATATCTAGCTGGACAGGTGCTGAATCACTCCTATCAAACGTATTTTCATTCAGTTGATTCGATAAACAAGGCTTCCATTGCTATCAATCTCTCCCTCCAACCTGTTACATTAGATTTCAAAACTGTCATCTTATCACATCCACCCTATTGTATGGTTGTGTGTAACTGCATGTAGTGAGTGCTATAGCTGAATTATGCTCTAGATTTTTTATCTTATTCAGGTCAATTAATCTAGATTTTGCTAGGTTTTTATGTTCGACTAGTCTGACTGCCCCTGTTCTACTACTTTGGCCTATGCATTTGTCCTGACAATCATTTCAGGCAGGGTATTAGATAAACTAAATTGTTTTGTTTTAAAGGCTCCACAGGATTGATCGTTTAACCGACAAAGCTTGTTTCTGATTGGGATTGTGGGTTTGAATACCAGCCACTTTTATTCCTGTCTGCCTTGTTAAGAATTCTGCGTAAGGTTTCCGAAGTTCTTTCCTTGTATGGAATTACTACTGATGATTTAGATTTATTATTTTTGGTGTTGTCATTATCCTGCGTATGTTTGACATGCATGTCGTCATTAATATTACTATTATTATTGCAGTTATTATTAGAATAGTTCAGCTATAGCACTCACTAAATGCAATTACACACAACCATACTATATGATGGTTGGGATAAGATGACAGTTTGTTTTATAGTCTAATGTAACAGGGTGGAGGGAGAGATTGATAACAGAAGCTTTGTTTATCGAATCAACTGCAAATGCATGTAATAGGAATGATTCAACACCTGTCCAGCCAGATATCCGGAAAATCCCACTACCCCAACGACGACAAATAGGAGAGAACAAAGAAAACTATAAAACTCAAGTTTCGAAGTCGTGTGATTATAATTGGCGATATGATTATGAACAATGATAAATTTTGTTTGAAACCTTGTCATTCAGTATGTAATAATACTGTTTCGCTGTGTTATACATCTAATTAACAAACTAATATGGTGTCATGTTTATTTTCCTCTGACAATGTAACTCATACACCAGCTCCCAATTGTACAGACAGAAAAAAAAGATTAGGGAGTCAAGTATACACTGTCGTTTGTATACCTTGCAATAAAACCATAATATTTATATTCTGCTGTGTCAACAAGATAAGCTTAAAAGTGTACACAGGTTGTATTTGAAATTATAAAAACATTTTAAAAATATAAGTGCACATATGGAGAAAAAAAATACAAAGTAATAATGATGCAACTAAACAATAGCAGATTAATTTTGGTAAAATCGTTTCATCCACTGACTAAGACTCTTCACCCCGTTTGAAACAAAACTTCAGGGTTATAAGACTATTTTGACATCAATATAACCTGAAAGATATTTTTAAAAAACAAAACAAAAGTGGCTTATTTTTGGGCTGCAGTTTTAAACTTAAGCCAAAGCAACTAAAAAGTATTGAAATTAAGCAGGAATTCTATGATCTTTAAACAACTTTTAGTAACAGATCTACGTCCTGACTGGAACTTTGGGTTTCGAACATTTTTTGGGAGTTCCAGTAGCAGTAATGTCATGCTTGTGACATAGGATAGCTAGCCTCAGAGCTAATCTTTCCTTTTTTTTCTAGAATTACTACTGACTAGTGAACTGTGAGCTTAAGGAGATTATCAGCCAGCCGGGCATCAAACCCGCACCTGCTCTAAGACATACATACATTGTGGAATATGTGTACCCTAAAATGGAACAAGCTACCTGTAATGTCGACGACTTCCCAAGGTTGAACACCAAACTTTAACCTTCTATTATAGATTGTTAACAACACTGTAGTTCAAGTGATCATGAATCCGACGTTATTCAATGTTTTAAACATGTGCACGAAAAGGCTATAGCCACAAATACTATAGGGATACAATAGGCAAAGAATTAAAACTTCAGTGACATTACACTTCCATTTTACTAAAGCTTGCTTGAATAAGACATTGATTTCTAACCAGGGTGGAGGGGTCTACACCGACTATCCTTTTAAGAGGCCTATAGCGTTACGGATGTCATCGAGTGCTTTGGTGTGCAGTGAAATTGGTAATTGCACTGTAAAAACACAAATACCGGAAAACTGAAATCCTGGTAATACATTTAACTGTTTAATATATATAGTTTTCTTAGGTACCGCTATCAGTCGAGATGATGAAAATATGCATGTATTATGAATGAACTATGATTATTTACACCGTTAAATGAATACCACGAGGTTAAAGGTAGTCGATATTGACCACTATTCACAAAAACCATCATAACAAATATATGATAAATAGAAAGCAATTTACCTCAAAGTTCTGAATTTCTAGGTATCCAATTAAACTCTAATGAAAGACGAGTTAAAGCTGCCTTGAACTTTCCATTGACATGTGATACTGGAAAACATTATATATAAGTATGAAACTTACCAGAACCTCTACTTTTATCGAATGCATATTCTTCAAGCAACAGTGGTTGGTTATTATTACCCTACATTTAAGTTAATTTCAATTGTGACATCTTACAAATGCAGCAGCTGCCAATGCCTCGACTGCTGGCTTCACTTCCAGTTTAAAACTTTGGAAGAATATGTAACTCGTTTGACTACCAGAACGTTCTACAACGCAACCATAACCATTCTGGTCTCTTATTTTCGAAAGCGTCATGTGCCATTTCTACAAAATTTTATTCACTAAAAATGTATTTACCTCATTTGTCCCACCCTGACATTCATATGTGAAAGTACAAGTTATACCATCCTATTAAATAATTGCATTATATGTGTAGATAGAAAATACTCTCTCAATATTTGCAGAGTACTTCTTTCCACCTGGCTGTACGGAAAAGTCTTTTTTAAAAGAGTCATTTTCACTGGATGGAAAAACGAAATACAGAGTGAACAAGATCGAAGCTATCCACATGTTGACAAATTCGTAAGTGTGGTCATTGAGGTGGATGTGGTTAAAAATCTCTAGGTCAAACATCCAATATCCAATTTTTTTCGAAGAGCTAGCATTGAACCAAATTGACTTCTCATTGTTTTGTAAAGGTCATAGGCCTCCGAATAATTTCACTGTAACCTAAGGACTGTTTCAAATTTCCAGAAAGTAATAAGATAGAATCTTAAAATTGGAAAGTGTTGGAATCAAAGGCGTCTTAATTATTTGGATTAGGGATTAGTGAGGAGATTGGTAAAATGTAGTTTGTAGAATGGGGTGAGTCACTGCTGTGTATGATATTGATCTTCTCACCCCCTTTAGTCGTCCGGTGGGGTCGAACGGAGAAATAATAATAGGTGTAATTACTGTAGATTACATAGACACGAAATGCAATACGTGCAGGTAGGTGGATAGAGAAATCCAGTAAATAAAAATGATAAGGTCAAAATAATAAAAATAATAATATAATATGTGTATGATTAGTCAGAGTAGTCAAAAGAGTGGGGTCAGGGAGAATACATGGTGGTGAAGGATAGATTTAAACACGTGCCCAGTGATAGCGTAGGGTGGGCTTTAACAAGAGAAACAATTTGGACGTAGCCCTTGTTTCACTGCAAGATTATATGGCCTCCGCTCTAAGCTCTCCATGTACATGACATTAGCCACAGATGCTGGTAGATAGTTTCTGGGACGACGAACTTGAAGAGAAATGAAATGGGATTGCACTCAAGTCTTTTCTGTTAGACGCCCTAACCTCTGTTGGTTGTGACGAGAAAGCCCTTGGAGACTTAATGGCAGGATACCTTGGTTTGGGTGATCCTTGTCACTTGTAATCTTGCAGGTAGTAATTGGGACATCCCTAAACCTAAGTGGGCAAAGACCTAGTTTCTTCAGCCTTACATCATATGGTATATTCCATAGATCCATCCCTCCCTTTTTTCCCACCTCTGGATTCTTTGGAAAGAATTCGGGCGACGACGGAAAAGTGATATTGTGTGCTTCAAGGTTGTCTGATACCTACTTTTTACAGCATCTTAGAAAAAGCCCAGGAGCAGGTACACGTATCTATGCATAAACAGTGAGAACACATATGTCCTCGCCACATTGCTCATGCAATCTCTCCCTCCTCCCGCGCTTCGTGTGGGACGTTAGAATCTCTCCATAAAACGTGGAAAAAATTTCCCATTCTGGAATATCGTGGTCTATATTTGACTACTATACAGTTATAAATGACATTGGTTGCACCTTCGGTAGCTAAATATCCAAATTTTATCACCGCCAGAATACTGTTTGGATACATTCAAATTCGTGTGAATAAAGAGCAATCTATGACAAAAGAACTTTAAAGAAGTCCTTAGTTTTGTGGTTTATAATTATCGGAGTTAACTTATTTGTTAGTGGTCTATTTTTAGTTTGTATTTTATACATTCATACCTGTTTATCGCTGTTTTATCTATTTCGGTATTATAATAGCATTTCACACACTTTTATCAGTTTTTGAGAATTTAATATAATCTTTACCTCCATAATGGTCGAGGTTATTAAACGAATTAGTACTGTTAAGAGCCTAGCATCAAATAGTCAGCATTTCACTAAAAACATTAGCCCTAACGACGAACTTGCACTAGGATCAACCGGTATATCGGGAGTTATAGTACCAAACTTAATGGAAGAACTAATTGACAATGTAGCCCGTAACACTAGTGATCTACAGATCCTTCAGAAATCCACATCAGACCTGCAGGATGAATTTGAAAGTATCACTCCTTTCATGCAACTTTGTGGTCCATCACAAGAAATTTGCTTAGATTCACTTCTCAAATCTGAGCGCCTGCTAGACTTTTTGACTGCAGAGGCTGTAAAGAGGGTGATGTCGTCATATAATGTCTTAGGAAATAGCATACCAGAAAATGTCCCTATTGTCAAACTTAAAGCAGTCTGTCAACAAGCGTGCAACATTTCACAATCTGACTGCCAGGTTCTGCGTCTTCGTAAGAAATCTGCAAACCACCCACGCTCTGTACTCTTCAAATCTAAGTCTGTTGACCTAGATAAGAAATTTTTGGAGTCTGGTAAAATTCTCGGCTCCTCAGCACCCTACACCAATATCAGGATTGTACCTGATTTAACTTCTTGTCAAAGACGATGCCGCGCAGGTAAAGTAAATGAAGATAACCCCAGTAAGACAGCCGCTGTTAATACTTCTCTCGTTGGATTGCCTAATGACCTAGAGCACCAGGTAATATCGCATCCACAAACTAACGGTAGTCAAGTAACTGTTGAAGACTCAGCTCTACATACTAGAATCGCAGATATAGAAATGTCAGCAGATCATAGTATTGACGTGCATCCCTTGCACACTGACACGAATGCCATGCCCTCGAAACATCTAAGCTGAATTCAGTCGTATACTGTGAATCTCTCCAGAAGTCATATACCGCACAACCTCGTAGCCCTGCTAATGTGAGGCAGCAACCACATGTGGCTACCCAGGTTGGCGTAAATTCAAGGTGATATGATAAACGTCCTACCTCCGAAAGGAACACCAAAAGAACTGTTGAAACTATTCAACAGAAATCCAGTTTATCAGGTTATCCTACTAGTCACCAGCAGCCCAAATTACACAAGCCAACTAACACGGAAAAACCTAAACCAAACACTAGATCTGGAACACTAAAGCCCACAAGTATGAGAGTTTCAAAAGGGTCACCGGCCCATTCTATAGATGGAAAGTCATCCAAACTTAGTCATGTTCCTCAAGTTAGACATATATAACATACCATAGGAGCTTATTCATTTCTGACTACCATTGCCAGTCCATATTGATCCATATATATATTTATTCCTGTTTATACAGGAACATACCAATTGTACAGGCATGGATAAGTTATTATATAAATTACACATATTTCGATATATGGTGAATTTACAGTTTATTGTTCTTTCTGACATTAGAGTCAGTCAGAACAGTCTGCAAAATAGTCTGTCTGTGTTACACATAAAGAGATATAGAAATATTGTCTTCGCATTAACAAAAAACCCAGACTTCAGATGAGTGTGATACAAATATCTGGGAAAAATAAAGCTTGAAGTCAATTCTCCTGTATAACTTTGTTGTGAACAGCATCCTTGACTTAAAGTTTATTGATGTATTATGTTGAGATCACTGATATATTTATTCCATTTTTTCAGCAGTCTCATCGTAGTTTTATAACAGGAAAAAATTTGATCGTGGATAAGAAAACTAGATAAGGTCACGCTGGATTGTTTTACTACATCAAATGGGGTCGAGGTCGATTCCAGAACTTTCCATTGGCGCCATTTGTGTCAGCATGACAGACTGTACACGTAAGTTGAGTAATACATTGAAAACTGTTTGAAAACCAGTTGCTTCTTTATTTCAGATCAAGAATACTCCTTGTACAGAATGTTGGCTAGCGTTTTCAAATGGTAGCATCGGATCGATCATGGAATTTGAGTTTGAATTTACTTAAATGGTCAGGAGTCCGGCCTCATTTCAGTTTAAATGTGGGGTTGTTCGACCTCAACCAGGAGGTAAATAGAAGAGTAGGCTCAGCAGCAGAATACCGGAAAAAGAAAGTATGTGAACATGAAAAGAACATTAATGTTTTATGCATGTACAAATGTTTATGTCGACTGTATATCACTGTATAGTAAACATTACCTATATTGTAGTTGTTTTTCATGTATTTTTGCGAAGTCTTAGAGTTTATTTAGTGTCATAATATATATTAATCAGTCTAAGCGTTGTAGTGTTCTAATAGCTGATGCGTTTTAGAACTAAGTGGTGCAGTCTGAATGGCATAGTCATGGGGATGAAACAGTTTATATAGCAAGCGTTTTAAGGTTATAGTAGAGTGACAGGTCCTTATTTCTAAGGGTAAACTGTTCCCGATCTTAGAATACATGACTATGAAGAAGCTTGCATTGAGTGCTGTTTTACAGCTTCTCCTAGATACTGTGCACGTTTGGTTACGAAGATTGTAGGAGCCTTCCGGTGAGAACTGTATCTCCTTGCTGTCTGAGAATGATATTTTATGCAATATTTTAAAGAAGAATGTCAGGTTAATGCTCAGTCGTCTCATCCAGAGTGGGTCGATACCTAGAGTTATACACCTTGATGTGTAGTCCTTTTCGCAGTCAAATCCTAGTAGTTTAGATGCGAAGTATGGTTGGACACTTTCTATTTTAAGCCTGTTACATACGCAAGTGATGCTGAGAATAAATGGACGATGTTCTAGTAGTGGTCTGACACATGTTTTATATAATACAAGTTTCGTTGTGGAAATTCCTGAGTATGCATCCTAAGAGCATCCTCGATTTACGCGTCTGCGTTGCCACTTGCTCAGAAAACGTCAGGTCACTAGAGTACCTGAGTCCTAGGTCAACAATACTTTGGAGTTTAGGCAAGTCAACAGATTCAAGTACCAGTTTGATATTTGTTGAGGGTGCACCGAAACAGATCCAACCACATTTTTAAGGTTGAATTTTAGGTTCCATGTGGAGGACCATGCAGTTACTCTATCTAGTTCATTCTGAACAGCATACTGAAAGTATCCTAAGTCGCCACAGTGGAACGTGTAAGCTACTTTAAGATCATCTGCAAAGATGAACGGTTTACCAAGCGAGCAACAGCTGCGTATGTCGTTGACATATAGAGTGAATAGGAGGGGGCCTAAGGTGCTACCTTATACTACTCCAGAAGTGACTGGACTAGGCTTAGAGTTTACAGACCCAAGTCTAACTACTTGGGACCTGTTGTTAAGGGATGATTCAATCCATCCTTATAATGGGTTACGTATTCCTAAGGAGTTAAGCTTATTTATTAGAAGCAAATGGCCAACGCGGTCGTAGGCTTTGGAGATGTCGAAGTAGATGACTAGTACTAGTTGTTTTTGTCTCGGCTACTGGTTATATAGTTAAAGAAGTCAAGGTGACATGTCATGCATGATCTGGATTTTAGGAATCCATGTTGGTTGGGACTTAGAATATTGCAGC